GTATCGTTCCCGCGGAAAGGCTGACCTCCCACCGACTGGAAGGCATGAACGAATGCCGCGCATTTATAGAGACCTCGTACTGGCGCCGACTTTGAAGCCGAGCCCGTATGGCTGATCTGATACCTCCACGGATAGCTCCGGGTTATCTTCAAGAGGTTTCTGCATCCCTCTCCGTCGCCAGTATCAGCTGCTTAGAATGAACTTGCGTTCTTCTTTAAGTGCTGCCGATTATCTCTGTCCGTCGCGAATTCATTGCTCAAATGAGTAATAAAAGACAAATATGCACTGAGAGAAAAAAATAGTTGCGATTACCATAATTTAACTATAATATATACACAAACATACATATATATATATTTATATAATAGTAATTTTTTTAGACAACTATATATTTATAATTGTTTTAATCATGCAAATATAATTATCGTGCTATTAGTAACAGTCACACACATTGCTTAAAAATCTTTAATTTTTTCATAATCTTTTTTTTAATTATTATTACCACATAAATAGTAAGTGAATTTAAGAAACTTATATTTATTATAATTGTGACTGCATTTAGTGAATAAATGTTTATTTTGATTACCATTTATATTTTTATATTAATATTTGAAATTATTATAATTTATAGTACAAATCTTTTCGTGTTTGAGAAATTATGTTTATTATTACTACATAAACATATTGTAGCAATAATAATCATAAAAATGGAGCTTCTAACCATAATATTTTACCATGCAATTATAGTCATAAATGTCAAATACTTTTCTTTTTGTAAAAAAGTGAATTTAGATAAACACTTAAGACATATACAGAATATCCCAGAATATTTGGAACTATTTTCATATACAGATAGAACGAAGTAAACCGAGCAAAAAATCCTGTACAACTTTACAATTTTTGCAATAGTTAATGAGTTATTAATTAATAAAAATCGCCATATTAGCCCGGCTAATAGTTAACTATATTGCGAAAATTGAAAGGATTTTTCGACTCGGTTTAGTCCGCTCTATCTACATATGAAAATAATCCCAAATATTCTGGAACATCCTGTGTATTGCGAATCTTCATATATTTCTTAAAGTTTTAGATGTAAAAATTATTTTGGATTTTTGTAGAAAACAAGTGCTAAACAATATAGCAGGTTAATCTAATCTTTATAAAGTCAATTTATTTAATTCTGAGGATTTACAGAACGTGACTGATTGTTATCTTGAAAATACGATCAATATATGTTACGCGTATAGATAAACGTAGAGATATTCCGATATATTTTTATATTTTTATTCCCATGTAAATAAAATTCATGCAGGACTATTTTTAGTCGTATTTTTGTACTACAAAAATAAAACGTTTTATATATTCTCCTTTTTCCGCTTTTGAGATTGGATATTTGTTTGGTTGAACAAGCATGCAAAGTTGAAAATAACACAGTCAAAAAACAAGTAAACTTTCTTCCTTCCACAACAGAACATTAGCTGTTATTTATGCATTTGCTTTGCTATCGATAAAACATTAAGCGTGCAAATATTGTGTTAAGATCTAGACGCTGGCGACTGTCCATCTCACTTTCTTGCATTACGACGTGCATTGTAAATGAAAATAGATTTTCCTTTCACGTTTATTTCTGCAACGCTGATCTCTACCTCGATGGAAACAGATGGTAAAACATGGGGAGTTGCTTACATTCCTTTTGAACGTTTATTCGACTTGTACATGCATTTTCAGACGACTTACTATTTTCTTCTATTTCTCTTTATATATATATATATATATATATATATATATATAACATAAAGATAACATAAACAATTAAAATTGAAACATATTACGATTATTAAAGTAGATTCTGTCTACAGAAATTCTGAGGAAATTTTGTTTTACAAAATGTAAATTTTATTACTTCAAGGATAATGTTTTGCGTCATATTTTATGTGATAATGTTTTGCGTCATATTTTATGTGAATGCAAGCTTATCTTTATCAAAATATTATCTTTCATTCAAAATATTGTACTAGCTTCTAACTGCGATATTGTATCTATGATAATAATTATATCTATGACAATAATTATAAGATATAGTATTATATTAGTCGTAATAGAGATCTTCAATGCAATCAGTTCTTTTTTTTATTAAGAAATGATAAGCCATAAGTGGCTGTAGAACGTTATCCATTATACACAATTAAATCTGTCTATATGTGTAGAAGTAAATATAAATCGTCAACTGTGTATAAAGCTTCATATTTCCCAATATTTTTTAAAAATTGTGGTATTATAAAAAACGATTTTTAAAAAGTCGTTAATTTTTTAAAATAAATATATAAGAATGTATAATCGTATTATCATAATTATAAAAATATGTACTTTGTGCTTCGTATGTATGAGACATGAAATAAAATATGTATTAATAACGCAAAATCGAGCGATAATCCTAAATAAAAATAAATAATAAATTAGTGTAATAAATGTAGCTTTTTATATTTATAATATTTATAAATATTTATAAAATTGTAGAAAAAAGATATTAAATCAATGACCAACTGCAGATAAATGACCGACTATTGATCTTGCCACCTGTTATAAAAGCGGCTGG